CTTCCTGCCCTCGAACATTGGACTCCAGGTTCTTCAGCTTTTGGACTCATGGACTTACACCAGTGGATTGCCAGGGGCTCTCAGGCCTTTGGCCACAGACTGAAGGCTGCACTGTTGGGCTTCCCTACTTTTGAGATTTTGGGACTCGGACTGGTTTCCTTGCTCCTCAGCTTGCAGACAGCCTGTTGTGGGACTTCACCTTGTGATCATGTGAGTCAATACACCTTAATAAATTCCCTTTCATATATACATCTATCTTTAGCTCTGTCCCTCTCGAGAACCCTAATACACAGCCAGAGTGATGCTCTGTTGTTGCAGCTGAGATCACCGGCTGATACAATGTGTGAAGTGCCTTTTACAATAAACATTGGTTTTCTCTTTTCTGCAGGTCGGCATTTTGCATCAAGTTTTTTTGTTTTGCTTTTGTTTTGTTCGCTTGTTTTGAGACAGCATCTAAATATCTATTGTCCAGGCTGGAGTGCAGTCATACAATGTCAGCTCACTGCAGCCTTGACCTCCTGGGCTCAGGCAATCCTCTCACTTCAGCCTTGACCTCCTGGGCTCAGGCAATCCTCTCACTTCAGCCTTGACCTCCTGGGCTCAAGCAATCCTCTCACCTCAGCCTCGCAGGTAGTTGGGAATACAGGAATATGCCACCATGCCTGGTTAATTTTTGTTTAGTTTTTTTTCAGAGATGAGATCTCAACAGGTTGCCTGGGCTGGTCTCGAACTCCTGGGCTCAAGCAATCCTCCCTTCTCGATCTCCCAAAATGTTGAGATGACAGGCACAAGCCACCCTGCCAGGTCTTTTGCATCAAGTCTTTTAAGTGTTGTTTCATGTTTATGTCACTTATTAAGAATCACACACAAGATCGTGTCCTTTGCAGGGACATGGATGGGGCTGAAGGCCGTTATCCTTAGCAAACTAACACAGGAACAGAAAACCAGATTCCTCATGTTCTCACTTATACGTGGGCACTAAATGATGAGAACACTTGGACGCACTGCGAGGAACAACAAGCACTGGGGCTTATTTGAGGATGGAGGGTGTGAGGAGGGGGAGGATCAGGAAAAATAACTAATGGGTACTAGGCTTAATACCTGGGTGATGAAATAATCTGTACGACAAACCCCCATGACACAGTTGACCTGGGTAACAAGCCTGCACCTGTATGCCTGAACTTAAAATAAAAGTTTGAAAAAAAAAGAATCACACATTTTGTTGTCATGTTAAATCCTGCGAGGTCTCAAGGTGAGTCTCTTTCATAGAGAATAAAAGATGTGTCATGTGATTCTCGAATGTGAGACTCCTACTGAAAAGCAAACAACATTCTTCTTCAATGTGTTGAAGAATAAAGAGGTGTGAGTAAGGACTTTCAGGTCTTTGTAGACAGCAGCACTGGACTCTTGTTGGCATCTATTTCCACTTATTCCACCAGTGAGACACACCAGGACAGTGACCCATCCTTTCCCCAGCTACCTAACTCACTCAATCGCGGTAGGTGGGAAGTCCTGTTGTCTTCAGCAGTGTGTCACCCACTGAATATGTCCCTTAATTCTTTCAAGCCCGGAGACAACTCCTTTTAAAAGAATTATTCAACACAGCTCTTTATTATACTTTTATTGTTTGTATAATTCATTTTTGTCTGTTACAAATATATTTCAAACTAAAGAGTCACAGATGTTAATAAACTTGCCCAATGCATCACCTGCCTCTTAATTCCATAGTTTCCACTGCCTTGTGCTACTTGCATTCTGATTAGAGAATGGTAATGTGTGCCTCTCTGAATCAAGTTCAAGAGTAAATGCCCTGTTAGGGGATAGTCCAAAGCCTGTTGTGCTTTTGTGTGTGAGCTAAGGCTAAGCTAATCAACACCTCTCTGGGCAGCACCTCTCAGTTGCCTACTGAGTTCTTGGTGGATTGCTTAAAATATATATTAAAATGATGACTCTTCATAGTATAAGTAAATTAATTGCTTTGTTATTCCAAGAAAAACTGTGGGAAAATATCTGGATTAGCAATGTGTTGATAAAATGACTTAAAGTTATACAGTATTGTAGGTGTACTTCAATACTTCATACAATTTTTATCTGTCATACATAAAAATTATCCAGCACATATAACGACTTGCCTTTTAAAAACCCACAAAAGCAGTTTTTCTGTGCAGTATGGAATCTTCCTGAGAAACTTAAGTTACAGATTTAGGAATTGTTCTAAGGAGGACTAAGGCACCAAGAAGTAAGTCAAGGCTGTCCCCTTTGTATCACAGTGTGCAGACAAGGGTTGAGCTTCCTCCAAACAAGAGCTACAAAAGGCAGAGAAAGTTGCCAAGACAAAGCCAAAGAAACAATGTGTTTTGCCAAAATATTTGATAGCTCTTCCAGTTACATGAGAGACCTGGACATGGCACTAAACACGTTGACACAAATGATGACTCAGGGCTAAAGTAGACCTACTGAATACTGCAATTACTGTGGATTGAGAGACACTGTTTTTGTAACAGGAAAGTATATATACAGTCATGTGCCACATAACCACTTTTCAGCCAATGATGGACCAAATGACGGACCATATGTATGATGATGGTCTCATAAGATTATAATACTGCATGTTTACTGTACCTTTTCTATGTTTAGATACACAAACATTTACCATTGGGTTAAAACTGCCCATAGTATTTAGTACAGTCACATGCTGTATAGGTTTGTAACCTAGAAGCAATAGGTGACACCGTGTAGCCTGGGTGTGTAGTAGGCTATACCATCTAGGTTTGTGTAAGTACACTCTTATGATGTTCACATAATGACAAAATCATCTAATGATGCATTTCTCAGAACATATTCCCATTGTTAAGTGACATAAGATGTATACAGGCATGTGTGTGCGTGTGTTTGTATATATATCATACGGCTGTATACAGGTACATGTGTGTATGTGTGTATATACAGTCATATGCACTTACATATGTGTGTGTGTGTGTGTGTCTTTTCAAGTATTCCATCTGAAATCAAAGGACTATATTTGAAAATATGCCTCAAACATTATAAGGTCAAGAACCATTACAATAGGAAAATGGTGAGCCTTAGGAACTTAGAAAAGGGGCATTAGGGCCCAGGTCATTCCCACAGCCTTTGGGTAAGCATGATGGTGGGTGAAAGTTAGGATGGTAACAGAATTTTCTATAGCAAATGAGAATGGAGGAGGGAGACAGGGAGTAGTAGATTTACAAGTAAAATATGAGGCATATGAGCAACCAGTAATCCAGTAGAGAAGTCACTTATAAGAAGAGTAATATATGTTGTGAGGGGGTATTTATACACGTAGGTCAGAAAGTCCTTTGGGTCAGAGTTGGCAAAGATAACCACGTTGGAACTACAGAGGGAAGGAGGTAGAGGTGAGGCATCATGATAATGAAGATAGACATACAAGGTCCTGCACGGAGAAAAGAGCACCCAGCCCCTCACTACCTCTGTGGCTCCCTGGGGCCCTCTAGAGCACGGTGCAAAAACCTTGTGACCAGCCTCCTCTAAGGTCTCCACTGGCTCTGAACTTGAACACTCAAATGAGTCGTCTTAGGGGAAATTTCAAAAATTGGTTTCTAATATTTCCATTTCTTGTTTGGAAGGGGATGTGACCCAGGCAGCCACTTCAAGGGGTATCCTGTTGAGCAAGGACACGATGAGTCCAGAAAGCAGCAACCAAAGTGGAAAGGGTCTTAAGAGGAAAACTGCCAGGTCACCCGGTAGACTGACCAGGTCCCATTTCTGAAGACATTCTGCAGGGGGAGCTAATGGCAACTTTGGGCAAGTCTGAATCTCACTCAGAACTGGTCCCAAACTCCCATCCTTATGTCGAGCCAAGACTAAACGCCCACGAGGATGTCTGCAAGGGGAGAAGGGGCTATCGAAGAATCCCTGGACCGACCATGGTGGCTACAGCTACAAAGGTTCCTGTGGGAAACTGGATTGTCAAGCAGGGGAAGTAGAAAGGAAGCAGCACTGTTGAGTGCTTGCTTATTTAGGAAGCTCTGTGCTGGACTCCATTTTTGCTGTCATCTTTAGTACTTACTACATTTTAACAGGGGAAAGTTTTGTAATCCTTATTTGAGTGGCAAGGAAGCTGAAGTTCAGAAAGTTTAGGTATTTTGGTCAACATGACAGCATGATGTCAAAATATGAATCCAGAAATGCCTGACTCCAACATTTAGGCTATGTTCAATAAATTGTGGTCATTCCCCGAAGGAGTCTCAAATTAACTTATTAATTCTTTATTCCACACATACGGTTTATTTTATTTATTTTTGGTTTTTTTGAGACAAGGTCTCACTCTGTCACCCAGGCCGGAGTGCAGTGGTGTGATCACAGCTCACTGCAGCCTCAACCTCCCAAGCTCAAGCAATCCTCCCACCTCAGGCTCTGGAGTAGCTGGGACTACAGGTGCACAACACCATAGCCAGGTAATTTTTTAAAAGAAATAATGTCTTGCTGTTTTGCTCAGGCTGGTATAAAAACTCCCGAGTTCAGGTGATCCTCCTGCCTCAGCCTCCCCAAATGCTGGGGATACAGGTGTGAGCCGCCATGCCTGGCTTGTTTTTTTCAAAACTAGAAAATCTCCAGATGTTAAAAACTAAGCACATATTTCTATATAACAATGCACTGAAAGATATTTTTAACTGAAGGATAATAAAGAGAGGCATATCAAAACATAAGAGCTGCAGCTAAAGCAGAGCTCAAAGGAAAATGTATAGTCCTAAAATCTATGTATACAAAAAGAAAACAAGCTGAAGGATCAATGATCTAAACTTCCATCTCAAGAAGCTGAATAAATAAATCTACCCAAAGAAATTAGAAAGCATTTCTATGTTTCCAATGATAAAGGGAAGAGCAAAACCCAATTAAATACAAAAAAATCAATGAAGCTAAAGCTTGGTTCTTTGAAAAAGTAATACAATTGTTAAAGCCCTCAAGCAAGGTTAATCCATGAAAAAAGAGGGAAAAAAAAGGTACCAGTATCAGGAACAAGTATATTTTAACTGTATACTACATATATAAAACACTGAGCATGAAGAGGAGGAGGCAGGGGAAGAAAAACGTGTTTTGGAGCCATCCAGAAGAATTACATTCCAGATTCCATTCTAGTCAATTTAATCCAACATGCATTTGTTGGAAGAGAATAGAAACTACTATTAGTTTGGTATGAAAGGCCTAGAAGGAAAAAGCACATGAATTTTGGAGTTGGACAGAGTTGAGTTCAGATTCAGTCTCTAGCCTGATACTAAATGTAGGGCTTACAGCAAATTATTAAGTTGGTGCAAAAGTAATTGTGGTTTTGCCATTCCTTCCAACGGCAAAACTTGCAATTACTTTTGCACCAACTTAAATATATAACCTCTCTGAGCTCCCATTTTCTCATCTAAAAAGTGAAATAATACCAACCTCACAGCACTGTTAAAAGGGTTAGAGGCAAAGCACCAAGTATGTGGGCAGCTTATATCCTACAGAGCAATTTTCACCAACATCACCCAAGGCCATGAAGTTTATGGTTTGACTATCTGTAGGAAGGGTACAAAAATACATCATGCAACAAGGTCATTCATTTGGTAATGTAATGCTTTCTGAAAAACTTGAGCATTCGTTTTTCTTCACTTGACTGTTCTAGTAAGAGAGGTTTGGTGTGGTCATTTTTCAGTAGAAAGGATGTTACCAACATATAAACAATATAAAAGGATCACATGATAATTAAATGAAGTAACTTAATATGCAATTTTCATTCTAATCTTATATAATAATTTGTCTTGACGATTGATAGATCACAATAAAAGCTATGCTGATGATACGAGTCATTTTAAGACTTTGGGGGAAAAAGACTTCCATCTCTGGCGTTGACCTTATTGTGGAGGACCCTCCAAAATCTTCAGCTCTGCACCAGCAAGTAGGCCGAGTCATGTATGTTGACATAAACCACAAGGAGTCAAGGAGCTAAAACCACCATGGCAACCGGCTCAGATCTGAGATAGGCAAGAGGAATCCTCAGGATTTTTCACACACTGAAGAAACTTGTCAGGTCTGTGACAAGAAAGCAAAAAAGGAAATCAAGAGGCCATAGGATACATCTGTGGTCCAATTCGCTAATAGAGGAAGCCCCTTTTTTAGCGACGACAATATGCACAGACCACTGAGCATCCATACAAACTCCTCTCCTGCAGTGACATGTCAGGAGGGGAGCTGTCCATGTCAGCTGGTGGTCAAAAAACAGCAGGAGCAGCAACCAGGGACCCCCACAGCTTCTGCGGCTAATTTGCTTTCCTCTCTTCAGAAGCTTCCTGAGGCTGAGTATTGAACCCAGGGTCAGAGGCAGAGGTTATAGACTATCTGGGAAAAAGCTGGAGACCTTCAGCAAGGGGACCAAACTTGCTTTGAAACAAACCTTACATAAGTACCTACCAGGCGAATGACTCTTATTTGCATAAAAATTAGCTAAAGCAACAGGAGCCAATGGGAGTGGCTGGCACATGAATGGGGGATGGTGGATAGTGAGGAATGGGGTTCTTGAAATTTGATTTTGCTAAATACGAGCCAAGGAAGAGAGAGATCCTCAGAAGCAGCTGCCAGCACCCCTGGGCTTCTGGAAGGAAGAGGTCAGTACCTGCCCTTGTGATGGGTCACCTCAGGCCCATCCCTAGTCAACTGTTATGACCAGCTGGACACAGCAGCTCTAAGTATAGACTTACTCCATCCTCACCAATACGGTAACCTGGGATCCCCACATGAAGGCATCCTAGGAACACAAAGTATCCTCTTTATTAAGGAAATGCTGCTATAGAAAAGAAATCTTTCTAAGACTATTTAGGATTTTTGAAGCTACCTTTGCTTTATATTAAATGAGGAGAATGTATGTTTATTAATTCTAGTTTCTAATTGGGAATTCAATTTTGGAAAAGAAGTAGCAATTACGCTGTCAAGATGATCTCTCTCCATGACCATGTAAGTATTCATATCCAATATCCCCATAAAATGGACGCGCCCTGTGTTTTGAAGCAACATAAAAGAATTAATGTACCCTCTAGGGTTTTTTTTTAAGCGCCACTAGAGGGCACTAGCCAGATAAAGCACGCTGACTGTTTGCTAATTTTATGATATCCAAAAAAAGTATTGTTACCTTCCGTTCATTCTACTGGTTAAAACATATAAACATGTGTTAGGAAATTCCATATACATCGTATCAGGACCATAAGTGTGCATATTTAAAAAAAAAGAGTCTTGGAAATATACATGTTAATAGTGTTTGTCTCTGAGTGATGAAATTTATTAAGGGGTCAATATTAGAGTCATTAGGAAGTCTAACCTGTATAGGTCTTTTTATATATATATATATAAAATATATACACACATATATAATATATATAAAATATACACACACATATATAATATATATAAAATATATACACACATATATAATATATATAATATATACACACATATATAATATATACATATATAATATATACACACATATAATATACACATATATTATATATATTTAATTATACTTCTGTTTAATTATTAAATAATCACACCAAAACAGCTGGACAGAAGTTTGCTAAAATTAGAAGCTGTGTTTGGGATGCAGAGATTTAAACTACAGTCTATGTCTGTATCCATGACATTCACCCTGGGCTCCCCTAGAGACAAACAACTGTTCTTCAAAGCCACAGTTAGACACCACAAGGGGTCCTGCCAGTCCAGTCATTCAAAGAGTCATACTGACTATATTACAACTTCACAGTCAGAGAAAAGGAGCAGTGATTTCAAAGATGATCCCCAAGTTTAAAATCTGATGCTCTGAATAACAAGTGTTGGCTTATAAATGACCTGGTTCCCATATGGGCCACTGTCTGTACAAGTCCAAATGGAAGCCATGCCCATATTTTCTTTCCAGATGGAGAATGAGTGAGCTCACGTAGAGCCTACAGCAGACACAAAAGAGGCGAGTTGATGAATTATAATATAAAAGTCTGGGCATTGATGAGAAAAAGGTTAATGTTTAATAAGACAAAAAAGATAAAAGAGTATTGGGGATAAGACCATCTTTATTTTCCAGCCTTTGTCTAGGTTTCTACTATTATATTTTCTCCATGCAACATATCTTTGAACAGCTTAGACTGGTCAGATATCTGCGAGATTTCTTTTACACTTCCTCCTTCATTCATTCTTTCTGTTTTCCTGTGTAACTGCTGTAGAATGCTCATGGTCTTTTCTGGCAGTTTCCAGATAGAAGCAAGCTGACTGATGGGGAATTCCGGTCATTTGGGAAACAAAAGCCATCAGTAGAGTCCCCAGAATCTATCCTTCTGCTTTTTTGATATGGTTAGTGGGAGAAGGTAGTGACATGGAGACAGGAACAATATTCTAGCATCTCAGCTTCTACCTCCTTTGAACAGCTTTTCCTCTCTCTGCATCAATCTTGTTCCAAGCTATTACATGTGGGAAAATCTCCAAAGATGCTTCTACCAATGAGTCCCTACTACACCATTGGTCACAACTGCTTAAAAGTGAGTGAGGGGTCTCAGTTTTGAAACTAGAATTATAGGTGACTTTTAGAAATATATATCTATCTGTAATTTTAAACTGTTTTCTAATAAACGCAAATTATTAGAAACAATTTTTAAATTTTTTTTTAATTTAAAAAAGACAGATCTTGGTAGACTGCCATGTGACACCTTATCAGGTGTTAGGCATCTGTGCTCAGATCCAACTAAGGAAGCGTCACATGCAAAATGATGTCAAATCACAAGCATTTTACAACTTGGAAGAAAGGGCTTAGCAAAACATTCCCTTTCTCCCCTGAAACCTAGTAGGCCAGTGAACCCTGGGCTGGGCCACTCACACTGGGAATCAGAAAATATGCCGTCAAAGGTGTTGTCAGCCTTAGAGGCAAGTCCTACTTGAGATCAGTAGAGACAGATGAGGAAAGGTGGCCAAGTGAAGGCCACTAGCTAGGATACCTTCTGGACTAGGCTGGAAGGAGGGACAGAGATCACCAGAGGTTGCCATCTGTGATCATCATCAAGGCCCAAGAAAGATTCACACAGCCCTCCAAGCTCAGAGGAGGCTGAGGAATAAAGGACATTCTACAGTTGACAAGACAGTCATTTTTTTATTCAAGAAGAAATTAATTACCTGTAGATATTCTTGCAGAAAAATCTAATATTCCTTTTGCTTATAATTGATTCCAGCTCTTTTATGGTGGGATCCTGGCATAAGTCTCTGGGGAAGAAAGAAGAAAGTATTAAAATTACAAGATCTTACAAACATTTTTGGAGTCTCTCTGTTTCTGTAGCAGGCCCTGGACAAGGCCCTTGGATAAAGAGGTAAAGTAGAGGCCCAGCCTCTAAGAGCTCCTGGGTCAGCAGGATTGCTGAAATGTCAAGCAGTTAAATATAGTTTGTGGAGATAAAGTTAAGAGGCTGTTGAGATTCATGTACATTCATTTCCTGAGTCAGTTTGTTCCCAATGCATTCTTGTGACTGTGGATTCTTTTGTGGACTGATTCATAAAATAACCCTGGGGTACAAAGTAGTAAGATATACCTGGAATCTTCTCTTCCACCATGTATCACCCAGGCCTCTAATGTCTGAACTTTCTCTGGTTGCAAATTATGGACTTCCACACTCCCAAAAGTGCTAAAACAGAAGAAACAAAGAACCGCAAACGTCAACCCCAAACAAAAGCATCCACGCCCCCACTTAAAAACCAGCAGGCAGAAAGGCACTGGCTAAGACCTATCCTTTGGAGTTGACACATCAAATTGCAAATCAATAACCTTTTCTTATTCAGAATGACCCTTGGTTAACAAGATTCTCAAAATTCTTAAGTTGTGCATTAATGTTGATTCTTTAAATATCTGCTATTCGAAGAGTGGTCCTTAGACCGACCTAATGAACATCACCTGGGATCTCATTAGAAATGTAGAATTTCGGCCGGGCGCGGTGGCGCACACCTGTAATCCCAGCAATTTGGGAGGCCAAGGCAGGCAGATCATGAGGTCAAGAGATCGAGACCATCCTGGCTAACACAGGGTGAAACCCTGTCTCTACTAAAAATACAAAAAATTAGCTGGGCGTGGTGGTGGGTGCCTGTAATCCCAGCTACTCGGGAGGCTGAGGCAGGAGAATGGCGTGAACCCAGGAGGCGGAGCTTGCAGTGAGCCGAGGTCACACCACTGCACTCCAGCCTGGGCAACAGAGTGAGACTCTGTCTCAAAAGAAAAAAAAGGAAAGAAAGAAATGTAGAATTTCAGCCACCACCACCTGCTGAAATGATCTGCAGTTAAACAATCCCCACATGATTCATATGCTCAGTGACGTTTGAGAGGCAATGCTTTGAAAGACTATTGTGGCCTGCCCTAATCCTATTCCTAAACTCTTCCCAGTTAGTCTCTGACAACTGACACTCCTATTGCAAGTACTTGAACCATAACATCAGATTATAAAATTCTGCAATGTTAATGCTTTTACCCAAAAAATTTGGGATCAGAAGACAAAAGGACAAATGCTTCCTTGTAGAATTAAATATTAAAACAGGAGAGAAGAAAAATTAATTTGGGGCACCTAGAGTTTACAAGGCAAATTAATATATGCTTCCGCCTTTCAGTCAGCCTTAGGTGGGATTAGAGAACAAAAATTAGAGAACAAAGGCCAAAAAGGCAATCAGTGTAGTAAAAACTTAAGTATAGAAGGAGATCAGACAAGAAAGGCACGGGTATGGCCAGATTCAGTGGCGAGGATCATTTTCAAATGAGAATAATAGCTGATTCGCATTGAGCACTTCCTCTGTTGTCAGGCACAGAGCTCAGCATTTTTCATCTGTTGTCTCAGTTAACCTTCCCATCACCATCAACTCTTCAGGTACATATACAGGGGCTCGCAGAGGTTGACTGCCCTGCTTAAGGTCACACAGATAATATGTAATGACCTCCAGTAATTGCTTTTAACCACTACAGTACATTACTGACAATGTCTGCAAAAGATAGTGAAGGCCAAGAGCCCAGCACAGTTCCCGATTTCCCAGTAGTAGTTTTACTACTGAACTGGGGTACACAATTTTCCTGGAGGAGAGGAGAGTTGAGGCAGGTCTTCATGGATGGCGAGGATTTAGACAGAAGGGAGCAGGGGAAGTAGGTCATATGGGGGAACTGTGTGAACAATGGTGAGCAACAGGTAGGGTGGAGTGTAACGGCAGAGAAAGCTGAGAAAATTACACCAGGACTGGAAAAGTTAAGAGCAGGGGCTAGATATAGTGCAGTGGTCATTAGAACCCGGTAGATGATTTTTGGCAAAGGAGAAATCAGACAAACACATTGACTTAGAAGACAACTCTCTCCACAGAATTCAAAATTTTTACCTTTTTTAGCCCAAATCTTCAGAACTGACCTGAAACATGAAAAGCATATTCTTTCTAGAGATAAAATATCCACTGTGATATTTGCAGCATGATACTTGCAAACAAGATGCAAAATAAATGTGTTACCTGTTTTTGTCAAAGATTTTACTGCGGGATCCATTGAGCATCACATGGACCACACCACAGGCAGTTTCTGCAAACTTAAAAAAAAGAAAAGCTCACCATTCATCATGCAAACTTAATCACAAACCTCCAGCAGTTTCATTCAAAACAATACTTAGCAATAGCTGGTTAAGGAAGGATACTCTATAGGGTTTTAGCACAGGAATGTCAGGTCTACACAATTTTCATTCCAAGCCACTGGACAGATTATGCTTCATATCAGAGTTCTTGAAGCAGTTGCTCCAATCTGTAAGTGAACAATGTTCAGTGTGATAGTTCATAGAGCTGGTGGTTCAGTGGTTCAGAAGTCAGAAGTCCAAATGAATAAGAAGAATGTCTAGAGGGGGAAGATGAAAGTGTTTTCTCAGTGTCATGCACTGTAGACACTACGCTTCATTTAGTGGGAGCAGGTGGATGATTCAGGGATAAGGGAAATGGGAACACCACAAAAGGGGAAACTGAGGAGAGAACAGGGGACCCTCAGGCCTGGAAAAGCACAGAGAGAAAGGAGGGCTGAATAAATGAATGAATAAATATGCTTGAGCAAAGAGTCTTATTTCTTCATGCAAGAAACATGCAGGAATCTTTGTTAGACTTTGGAAAAAATGAAATGAACAAAATAAAGTGTTCTATATGCTCCCTCCAGGAGGCCTCCCCAACCCCTGGGACTAGCTCAGGTCCCCTTCTCTGACTCTGATAGCATCCTACATTCCCTCCACATTATCCAACTGTATTGTATTATAATGACGAGTTTAACCTACCCACAAAAATTAAAAATTAAAAAAAAACCCTGCCTCTGTTATCAGAAAAAGAAAGGGACAAGTCTGAAAAAAGAAGGCCATCCACATATGTCCATGAGGGACTGGCAAAATAAAGGTACTGGTAGCTCACAAGGGCAGGACGCTTTCAATCACATGCAACTCTGTATTCCTAGTGCCAGGGACTGAGTGGGGAACACAAGGAGGTTCTTGATACACATAAAATGTGACTTGGCTTTAAAAGATTTTAGCACCAGCACTGTCCTAAAACATACCATAGAGTAGTGAAATGGAAGCTATTGTCAGAAAAACCAAACAAACAAAAACTATAAAGTACCCATGACTGTCCACTGCCCATAGTACTCAATAAATTATTTTCGAAGTGGGTGGATTTTGAGTTACATTATAGGATAGTGGTATCTCATTTAAACATTGCAGTAACCCTATGGAACAGGCAAATTTTGATTTCCATTTGACAAATGAGGAATCAGAAGATCAGAATGAGTAAAGGAATCTGCCCGAGTCTAAATCTTACAACTTCCAGGCTGTTTTTCTGTTTCCATCATACCAGGGTTTACATAAATCCCCCTAAGACACAGGTTTAGCTAGGTACCAACCTAGAGTTAAGATCAAACCTGTCCTGTAAAAGATAGAACCAATAAGCAGATTTGAAGAACAAAATTGAAGAGCATGGCTTTGGAATCAAGAAGACCTAGGTTAGGCTCTCGGGTCTGCAACTTATTAGCCCAGGGAACTTGGATGAGTCACTTAACTTCTGAGTCTTAGTTTCTTCACCTTTAATGTGGGAATCTGTCACACTACCTATGAGGATGACTCAATGGGAATGACAGAGGAACGCACTTCAAGGCTTGTCACAGATATGCTGCTAGGATTTGAATGTATGTGTCTCTTATGTTGAAACCTAAGACCAATGTGATGCTAATAAGTGGTGAGTCCTTTAGGAGATAATTAGGCCCTAAGGGCTCTGTCCTCATGAATGAGATTAACACCCTTATGAAAGGGCTCCAGGGAACTAGCTAGGTTCCTTTAGTCCCTCTGCCTCTGCCATATGAGGACACAGCAAGAAGGCACCATAGATGATAGCTATGTTAATTACCCTGATCTCATCACTATACCTTATATGTATCACCACATCACTACATACCCCATAAATATGTAAAATTATTATGTATCAGTTTTTTTAAAGAATAGGTAAAGGGTAGAGTGGTGAGTATTTCCCAGCCTAGATTCTGAATCTGGAGTCAGACAGCTTGGGATAAACTCCCACATATGCCTCTTACTAATTCTGTACATTTAGTAGATTCCTTTTTTACTTGTACCTTCACGTTGTTATGTGTTAAATGGGCACAATACTCACGGCACCTGCTTCACAGGGTTCTGATGAAGATGCAAGTTCTTAGTTCATGTAAATATCTGAGGACTGTATCTGCCACATAGTAAGGGGTCTATACATGTAGATTGTTACTACTGTCCCAGGAATCTAAGATTGACTAATACCCGAATCAGAGGATTAAACCAAGCCCCAGGTTGCTGGTGCCAAAGTCAGACACCATGTGTACGCGCAAGATTCTGCAACTGGAGCCCATGGACCCTCTAAGAATGTTCTAAAATTGGATGTGTAAATTTTCTGGCATGTGCTTCTGTACCTTTTTCTCAGGAATGAATCCTATATTTTCATTTCTAAAAGTACCTGTAATCCAAAAGTGTTAAAACCAAGCACTGACTGGATGACATCTTAAGTTCTGTGGTCTCCAAAGCTCTAGAATTTCACTACTTGGTACTTACCCTGCGGGAAACCGTTTTCCAGAATACTGAAACAGGGTTGTTGCTGCAGTCCTTTCTCCAGTCTGGGCAAGATTGATAGTTTATTTCTAAAAGACACAGTTTGGAGAAAATAAAGTGGAAAAGAGAGAGTATAAATAAGCTCTACTCTTCCCTGGCTGTTCAATCATAGTGAAACCATTTTCCAATGTGTCACTGCCAAGACGGAGGCTGGAGAATGGACACATTTTGACCCAATTTAACTAAGTGTCCCCTGAATTCCTTCCAAGTTCTTACCTAATCTTCCAAATCCCAGATGGGAACACAGTGGCAAGTTTTGAGTCATGATTCCGGGAAATGCTAGCAAAAGTTCATCTGACAGAGACAAGCCCTCTACATTATCCCCAGTCCAGGAAGAATTAAGAGGTAAAACCAGTTCTTCAGTGGTTGCTTTTGCCAACTGTTTTTCTGCTTCCTGACAACTCTCTCTTGCTGAGTTTCCTGTCCCACCTTCTTAAGTCTTCATCACTTACTCTCAATTGGCCTCAGGGTCTTCCTACATTTGCCCTCATCAAAGCAGTCTTATCCCTGAGCGAAGTACAATAGACATAGAACATGAATACATAGTTTCTGTGTCACTTCTCCCAAGGATATCTGCTTTAATGCACATTTATTGAGTTTTAGTTCTTAGAGGTAGAAAGATAAAACAGAAAGATAAATTAGATGGGAATTTTGCCTTCAGAGAGCACATGATATAGTAATTCTAGGAGTCTTATTATGATTAAATGTTTAAAACCAAAACCACACACAAAAAAAAGAAACATTCCCATGTATAGATATAAATAATTATTGTGGAGTCAAAAGGAATTATCTTCCCAACAGAGGTAAAGATGTTGATGGTGAGATGGACATACATTTTGTAATGTGGTTTAAGTACATATGTTTTCCTGAATATAAACCTCTTTTATCTTCACAACCACATCTGGAGAGAATTCTCTCAGTTTGTCATCTTTCCTCTCTCAATAGGATTCTTCCCCATTGCTGTCTGCCATTATAAAAACATACCATTAAATAAAAATTTAAAGTTAGGAATAAAAACAAAAAGAAGAAAATTTGACAAGGAACAGAAACAAAATCAAGAACATAAAAAAGGCAAGAGAAAAAAAAGGAGATTAGAAGGTTACGGAGTAAATTAAGAACTTCATAGTAAAACAAATAGGCTGGATGCAGTGGCTTACACCTGTATTCCCACTTTGGGAGGCCAAAGCAGTTGAATCGCTTGAGCCCAGGAGTTCGAGACTAACCTGGGCAACATGGTAAACTCTATCTGTATAAAAAATACTAAAATTAGCTGGGTATGGTGGTGCACACCTGTAGTCCCAGCTACTCAAGAGGCTGAGGCAGAAAGATTGCTTGAGCACAGGAGGTTGAGGCTGCAGTGAGCTGAGATTGTGCCACTGCACCGTAGCCTGGGTGAGAGAGAGAGAGACAAGAAAGAAAGAAAAGACAGGAAGAAAAGAAAAGAAAAGAGAAGAGAAAAGAAAAGGAAGGAGAGAAAGAAAGAGATAAAAGAAACAATGAAAAAATGGTAACAAATACATAAATAAATAATAAACAAGGCAAAACTAAATCTGGTTAAAATGTTGAGAAAAAGTAAGCCAAAATATTAAAAAATTAAAATATAAAATCAGGTCTTTTTACTCTTCTGCCTTCTGCCATGTGAGGACGTAGCCACAAGCAGAAAGCAAGTCTTCACCAGACGTTGACTTTGCCAGTGCCTTGATCGTGGCCTTCTTCGCCTCCAGAACTGAATACTTAAAGCCTAGAGGAGTGACATCAGCAAGATGGCAGGGTAGAAAGTCTCAGACTCTACTCCCACTAAAGTTCAACTAGCAATTATCCACAGACTAGGATGTCTTTCTAAAGGCTCCAATACTTGTAAACAAACTTGAGACACCTACATGGTCCACAGAACTGAATGAAAACCAAATTGGATGGGTAAGAAGAATGATCTCACTTTGACTACGCCACCCCTTCCCCTCCCTCAAAAGAGGACACAAAGCTAAATGGAGAGAATTTTCCTGGGCCATGGTTTCTATAAGGGGAAAGAGAACCAGATGTAGTCATCCATCTTCCCTAGCATTTCAAGATGCTTCCCAGGAAAGCTCACTCCAGTCTCCTCTCCCGGGGAACACTTAGGATACCAGGACAACTAGATTGCACCAGCTTAGGTAGAAACAAAGAAAGGACGCAGAAGTCACAGTGATCAGCACATGGATCTTGATGATATCTCTGTGTTTCTGCCGGCTGTGGCATCCTATGGGAAACAGCAGCCAACTTTATGGCCCCAAACAAGCTGAGCTGGTCTCCTTCAGAACCACTTGGGGAAGTTCAGTCTAGCTTAAGTTCCTAGATAGCTAGATTCCATGCCTAGACTCAGAGACCAACCCAGTGACCCAACCCAGGCAGGTAGATGACTGCCTTTGCCCATCCTAAAGAAACATAAAGGCTAGATTTAATTGATCCAGGAAGTCAAGCAGTGGCTCCACTCAGCCAAAATGCCTGCCAATGACCTACCCAGGCAGGGAAACTTTTACCTCAGTGCATTCTGGAGAAGCATCAGAGTTAGTCCTAGTTGACCTGGAAGGTCAAAAAGCTGCTCACTTCAGCCAAAGCCAACCGCATGGCTCCATTCTCAGGAAGGTGATCCTCAGTTGCACATTTCTAAGGAGCATAGCCTCTTATCTTGCCTGTCTACCTAACCTTGGAGCCCAGCCTGAAGTGCTGCTGAACTTAAGATACCAAATATCATAATTGTCTGGCCAGGAAATACAATCTATGAATGATGTGACTAGAAGCCATCACAGTACCCAGCCAGCAGCTATAAAACAATGAAACCACAAGGAAGATAATAAGAGAAGAAGAAAGAAACACAGTATCTAAAAAAGCAGAAAACAATTAATAAAGTGGCAGTAGCAATTCTTTACCTATCAGTAATTATGTTGAATGTAAAAGGATTAATTCTTCAACAGAAAGAGGGAATGAATAGATTTTTTTTTTTTTAAGATTCAACTATATGCTGCAAACAAGAAACTCACTTCACTTTTAAGAACACATATAAACTGAAAGTGAAGGAATGGAAAAACATATTCTATGTGAATGGAAACTAAAAGAGATCAGGAGTAGCTACACTTAATATCAGACAAAATAGACTTTAAGTCAAAAACTGTAAAAAGAGACAAAGAACACTGTATAATGATAAAGGGGTCAAGTCATCAAGAAAATATAACAATTGTAAATATACATGCACCCAACATTGGAGCAGCTAAATAAAAACAACAAACATTTAAGGTTCTGAAAGGAAAAATATAATGTAAGGCAAAAATAGTAGCGAACTTCAATACAACACATATTTAAGGATCTGAAAGGAGAGATACAAGTAAGGCAAAAATAGTAGGGAACCTCAATATCCACTTTCAACAACAGACAGATCATTTAAACAGAAAATTAATAAGGAGACAACAAACATGAACAACACTTTAGACAAAATGAACCTAACAGACCTTATACATCAGCATCTACACTATCCAACAGCAATGTAATACACATTCCTCTCAAGCACACACAGAATATTTTCTAGATTAGGGCACATATTAGGACACAAAAACAAGCCTCAGCAAATTTAAGAAGGTTAAAGTCATATCAAGTATCTTTTCTGACCACAATGGTAGAAAACTGGAAATCAATAAAATAAGAAATATTGGAAAATTCACAAATACATGGAAATTAAACAGCATGTTCTTGAAAAACCAACGGTTCAAAAAAAAATTAAAAGGAAAATTAAAAAATACATTGAGACAGGAAAATGTAAATACCATATACCAAAACATATGGGATGGAGCAAAAGCAGTTCTAAGCTATAGTAATAAATACCTACATTAAGAAAGAAGAAAGATCTCAAAAAATACACAACATTATGGAAGGAAATAATAAAAAGTAGAACAGAAATAAATAAAATAGAGACTAGGAAAACAATACAAAAGATTAACAAAATTTAGAATTTTTTTTTTGAAGAGATGCACAAAACTGAAAATATTTAGCTAGCTTAACTAAGAAAAATGAGAAGATTCAAATAAATAACATCAGGAATGTAAAACGAAGACATTACAATGGATATCACAGAAATACAAAGGGTTGTAAGAGACACTATGAACAATTATTAACATATGCCAAAAGTTAAATAGCACAGAGGAAATGGATAAGCTTCTAGACACATAAAACCTACCAAGACTGAATCATGAGGCAGTGAAAAAGCTGAATAGGAATAATGAATAAGAAGATTGAACCAGTAATTTAAAAGCCATCAAAGGAAAGCCCAGGACCTGATGGATTCACTGTTGCGTGCTATTATATCAAACATTTAAAGAACTAATTCCAATCCTCCTCAAACTCTCAAACTCTTCCAAAAAGTTGAAGAGGAGAAAATATTTTCAAACTCTTTTCATTAGGCTAGCATTACCCTGATAGCAAAGCCAGACAAGGATCCTACAAAAAAAGAAAATTACAGGTCAACATCTTTGGTGAACACAGATGCAAAGATACTCAACAAAATACTAGCAAACTGAATTCAACAATATGCTCAAAGGATCATCCACCATGATCAAATGGGATTTATCCCTGGGATACAAGGATGGTTCCACATACACAAACTTTAATAAATGTAATATATCACATTCACGGACTAGAGAACAAAAATCATGGGATCATCTCATTAGATTCAGAAGAAGCATTTGAAAAATTCAACATCGTTTCATAATAAAAACTCTCACCAAATTAGGTATATAAGGAATGTACCTCAATAAAATAAAGGTCATATATGAGAAGACTACAGCTACCTTATACTCAATGGTGAAAATTTAAAAGCCTTTCCTCTAATATCTAGAACAAGGATGTCCATTCTTGTCACTACTGCTCAACATAATAATGGAAGTTCTAGTAGAGCAATTAGGTGAGAGAAAGATAAGGCATCCAACTAAAAAAAAAAAAAAAAAAAGTGAAATTGCCACTGTTTATTGATGCCGTAATTTTATATACTTAAAAACCCTACTAA